GCAGCACAAGATACGTCTCAAAATAAAGTAATGGATTTGATAAATAATAAACCTTTTTGGGAACATACATTTCAGAGGTAGGAAAGAGGATGTGTACATTTTCACGTGGATGACAATATATTTAAATCCTATGGTATTACATTTGGGAAAAAAAGACATGTTTACATTCTCTTTTTACAAATACGTGTATGTTAATTTTGCTCAAGGCAGAACAAGATACGTCTCAAAATAAAGGAATGATTTGATAAATAATTAATTTTCTTGGGTAAATACATGGCGGAGGTAGGAAATAGGATGTCTACATTTTCACGTAGATGACAACATAGTTAACTCTTATGGTATTACATAAGTGAAAAAAGAGATGTTACTCTCTCTTTTTACAAATACACATATGTTTACCAATTAAGAATATCAACGGCGTTAACAAATCTTGGGTACATTTATATAAGTATAACCATGAATATCAAAACCCAATCATTTTACACACTTGAAAAATTATTTTTTTAAAAATAGGGATGTGTTAATATTTACTTTCAAAAAATTAAAATAAATTTTTGTTTTTACTTTGCAAAAAAGTAAAGAGATTTGTATTTTATAAGATTAAACATTTAAATTTAAAAAAAAAACAACACTCAAATCTGTTCTAGACGTGAAAAAAGGTTGCGCGATTCTTCTTTAGATAAAAGAGTTCTTTGTTTTACGATTTTCTGACAATATATATATATATATTTTTTTTGAAAAGGCAAAAACCATGGTTAAATTTTTGCTGAAGATATCAATATATATCGAATTCCTATAACATAAAATATTTTTATATCATATATAGAGGTTTTGGTGTAAATTTAAGGCAAGTTTTTTAAACAATTTTTAGAGAAAAAAAAGCTGTAATTCAAGGGCACGAAAAGGGGTAAATCTAAAGTATTTCTTTAACGTAGTAATTGTCCCTCAACTAACTTCTTTAGTGAAAAAAGTGATATAATTAGTAATAAATTAGACTATGTAATTTAAGGTCATGTTTAGAGGGGGGAAAACTAGTTTAGGAGCATGAAAAGGAGTAGGGTAGGCCTATAATATATAGCAGATAAATTATTCTCAAAACGTAATGATGTTAGAAAATTAAATATTATTACATTTTTAAAGTTATGAATTGTGATGAGTTTTTGCAATAGCAGTTAGAAATGTTCGCATAGGATCTACCATTATCATCCCGATAACATCGGGTCATTTATTCTAGTACAGAATATTTTAACATTTAATATATATTTTTATTTAAAGCGCTTAATTCTCACTCTCTTTCATTTTTGTTTCAGCCCTTTTTAATTGGACAACTTCTAAATTTTTATTTGACAATTTTTATCACGAAATTTCAAATGGCCCCCTTCTTATAAATAATTAAAATGTTACATTTCAACTTCCACGGCATCTATAAATGTATCTTTCATTAAATTTCCTGAAGTTTCTAGCCTTGACCCGATTTTTAAGTGAAGGTTTTAAGAATATATAAATGTCCTTTTAAGAACCGTTTCTTATGTTTTTATGAGTCCCTATTATTCTTCTTAAATGTTATGAAATCAGATTTATATATATTTTTAAAAGATTTCTAGAAAGTTCGAAATAAGAGAAGTATGTTCTAAACGTATTTTACTTTCATTGGCCAAAGTTACACACGAAAGCTGAGGCTGCAACGTACACTCCTATGTCAGTTGTTGCATGTTGGATCAACTTGGTAAACACGCATATCGGTGGATTTCAAACTAATAATATCCTTTTATTTTGTTCTGGGGCTCCCAATTTTTTTAATATGACATGAAGCTTTTCAATCGATTTTAAAGGACAAGGTTTAAAGATAATTTTTTTTTTTTAAATTATCCAAATTAAAACCTTAACGGCTGTAAAATCTAAAAAATGACGTCCTTTTTGCGCAGTGGACCAACAAGGTAAAAAATGAAGTCCTTTTTGTGCAGTGGACCAACAAGGTAAAAAATGACGTCCTTTTTGCGCAGTGGACAAACAAGGTAAAAAATGAAGTCCTTTTTGCGCAGTGGACAAACAAGGTAAGAAATGAAGTCCTTTTTGCGCAGTGGACCAACAAGGTAAAAAATGAAGTCCTTTTTGCGCAGTGGACAAACATGGTAAAAAATGACGTCCTTTTTGCGCAGTGGACAAACAAGGTAAAAAATGAAGTCCTTTTTGCGCAGTGGACAAACAAGGTAAAAAATGAAGTCCTTTTTGCGCAGTGGACAAACATGGTAAAAAATGACGTCCTTTTTGCGCAGTGGACAAACAAGGTAAAAAATGAAGTCCTTTTTGCGCAGTGGACAAACAAGGTAAAAAATGAAGTCCTTTTTGCGCAGTGGACAAACAAGGTAAAAAATGACGTCCTTTTTGCGCAGTGGACAAACAAGGTAAAAAATGACGTCCTTTTTGCGCAGTGGACAAACAAGGTAAAAAATGAAGTCCTTTTTGCGCAGTGGACAAACAAGGTAAAAAATGACGTCCTTTTTGCGCAGTGGACAAACAAGGTAAAAAATGAAGTCCTTTTTGCGCAGTGGACCAACAGAGTAAAAAATATTTAAAAGGCGAAAGCTTTGGCAAATTCCATCCGCTTTTATAGGGATTAGAGACCGCCCGAATTTCGGCTTCGGTTTAGGCGCCGAAAGTGGCCATTTTATCACTTTCGGCCAAGTTTCGGTTTCGGCTGATACTGAAAAGTTAACTTTCGCCTTAATTTTGGTTTCGGCCGAAAGAGAAAAGATAACTTTCGTTGTTTTTTTCAGTTCTTGGCGAAATTGACTTAGACTTTTGGCCATCCGGTCATTTTAAAGTCATTTTAAACTTTCGGCCTATTTTCGGCTTCGGCCGAAATCAGAAAATCTGCTTCGGTCGGTCTCTAATAGGGATACATTTCAAAATTTATATTGAATATTTTTGTGAATTATTTTATAGTGCCCACGTCTGACAAGTCCCATAACGTGGAACGCATGTAGACACAGTGAGGTACAAGAACCAGCTCTGCATAATCTGTTTAGTCTACTCTAGAAACGAATAAGAACCTTCACTAGGCGTAATGTAAATCCATTTACTCTGTGAGTAATCTGAGCTTATCTATTGAACATAGCTTTAAACAAGCAAATTAACGGAAATAGCGTTACATTAGCAAGATCAATGACGTGCGATACAAAGGAAGCTTTCAACGTTGAAGTGTCTGGCCAAGTCTTAAGTTTCCCCATGCTTAATGCTGAGATCGAATTCCTAAATATTTTACCGATTCTGAAATACCATCTTGAAAAATTTTAATTTATAAGTGAAGTTTGTAAAGAGATCTCGTTAATAAAGTGCAAGTGTTTGTTTGGGGGGGTTCTGGTATGCGGGTGACCCACGTCATGGGCGGCGTGAAGTTTGAGATGTTGTGGAGGGATGTTGTGGGACTAATGTGAGCAATGGGAGGAGCTTTGCAATATTTAACTGGTTTGAATTTCAAATATATAAAATACATATGAAGAGATTTACACCGGTGCAAGCTTAAAACGTAAAATATGTAGATTTCTATCCTCAACGAAAACCAAGTTTGGGTGTGTGTTTGTGGGTATGTGTGTGTACATTCGCCTGTCTTCGAGAGACGATGTGGTATTCTCATTGTAGACTCTAGATACAATATGAAGCAGAGAACAAGTATTTTTAATAGAGATGTTTCTCTTTCGCAAGCAGAAGACGCGACGCCCCCCTAACAACAAGCCATCACAATGTTAGTCGCCGAGAGAAAGTCAATTGAATGATGCAGTTTTTCACCATCAGCACTGCAGGTGTTATAGCCTGTGTGTTGAACTTGATTTATTGACCACGAGATGTGTTGACCACAAGCCGTGGCGGGCGGCCTGACCTTCCACTTTGGCTTTGACGTCACCATTGAACCCTGCCATTTCTTTGCCCAGCCTACCTTGATTGGGAGAGCGCGTTTCCGTTTCCACAAGTGTCTACATTATGCTACATAGACAGAGAAATACACTCTGGCAATTAATTTCTAGACTTTATGTTCTGGAGGGTTCTTATTTTAATAATTCTAGAAGTTTGTTCAAAGGAAAATCCGAAAACATTATTTTGATCGAAAAAAAAACCGCCACACACTGCTGGTCATCTTTGTCTACTTCCACGTTGTCTTGACCAAGTCTCGCGATTGCATCAAGACAGGAAAGGACGAGCAAGTGAGACTAAATAATTGCGCAACTGTCCCTGACTTTAAACTAAATGCAGTGCAGGTTAAGACTACTACGTAAAACATGGTCATCTTTGATAACGGACAACGGATACTGTTTTTATAGAAAGCTTACTGGGAATGATTTAGTGAAGTCTTCAATTTCGAGTTGCTTGATCAAGTTCGAAGCACTGGTCTTATACGTTTCACGGCGTTGTCAATCACTGGACACCTGACACTGCTTTGAAATAAAATCGATGCAATTTTTGGTGTGGCTAAAGTAACCTCTTTAGATTTAGATTTGAGATAACGGAAGCTCATATATACTACAATGCTTCATGCTATAGTAAACAAGTCTCGTCAAAAGATCAGGCGCATTAGCTGAAAATTATTTCAGTCAATTTATCAGCCTTCATTGGACCTTGTCTTGTTCTTTCGGTTTTTTTTTTTATTCTTTCTTTTTTTTAAAGTTGAGATTATACATTAAGGTAAGTCATAACTATTGAAGAAATTTTGTAAACCAAAATTTACTTTTTTAACTTGCAACTTTGTAAGAGACCTAAAATGTTATTTTGAATAAATGTACACATAATTTATCTGATCAATTTTTTCCCTAATGAATAGTTTTTTTGGTGTTTTTTTGTTTTTTCTGGTGTTTTTTTGCTTTTGAATTATTAACATCAATCTGATTTCTAGTCATTCAACTTTTAAAATAAAAATTCATAAACAGGAATAAGATTGCTGAATATATGTTTATTAAATGTATCAATTCTAAAATTTCATTAGTTGATTTGCTATAAAACTTCTAAAGCACACAAAGACACAAGTAAAATACCAGAACTAAGAGGACATAATCCTGCATTCTCGCCATGTACTTGAACCGTAACTCCTGGCTGTTGCTGGTCATCTCCTTCTTCGTCGTCGTCACGGGTGGAGTCACCTGGCTGACCAACAGTTACTCCGACTGGACGCTCGAGTGCCCCCACGGCAAGGTCATCAAGACCCTGGTATCCACGTTTGTGGGGAACAAGGACCGTCAGTGGAACTTCACCTGCTCGGACACGGCCCCCAGGGTAAACCTCACTGATTGCGAGTGGAGTGGATACATCAATGAATTCAGAACACATCTTTACTTTCAGTGTCCGAATGACGGAGTCATATCTGGTACGTGAACACAAGACCCTGGCCCTAGTTGCAAAGGGGAAAAAACACACACTAAGATATTATCTTAACAAACTATAGCACTTCCTCGTCTTAATATTATCCCCCAAGAAATACTTGTCATACATTTTCATAATGTGTTAACATTTAATCTTTTATAAAAAAAAGTTAACTTTATAAGGGTATCTTGCTAAGAATTAATTTATGCTTGAAATATAGGAAAACTCTCAAGCGTATAGCATATTTAATTTTACCTTTAATTTAAGTTTAAATTAATAAAAATTCCTATAATCTAGTAGAATATTCTCAAAATCTTATTTAAAATATTGTGTTATCCACAGCTTTTAACAAATACACACATACTACCCACACCATCTATCTCCTGGCCAAATGCATATGCACTTCAAATTCGTTTTTTTAAATAAAATTTTCATAGGCGTGTCCACCTACTTTGACTCGAACCAGTCAGACAGGAGGTTCAAATTCCTGTGCTGTTCCCCGGGCGATTACGTCTCCCACGCCTGCGTGTACACTCCGGTCATGAACTTCAACACGATGCTCCTGAATGTCCGGGTGCCGGACAACTGGTACCTGCGGGGCTTCAATGCGGACTACCAGTACAAGCTGTCCGCCTACGACCGCTTGTATTACTTCAACCTCTGTCGACTGGACAGGATTCTACCCCCACCCGAGTGCGTGGAAAATACGTCCGGCAAAAACATCACTGAGTACAATACAACAGTCAACGGAATATAAGCTAAGCTTATTCTAACAAAACATCTGTAAAAAAAACGGATTATTTTTGCAGCGTTAATGAGATTGTTGATGCCAATGCTAAAATAGCTTTATGTTATTGAAGACTATCTTTCTACTGATAAATCGTTTGGGTTTTGTAGGTTTGTAATGATGTAGAATAATTTTTGTTTGTTGTCGGCCGTGACCTTGTCGCGAAGTTGATCGCTGTCTGACCTGTCTGACACGTTGAGAGGACTATGAGAGAATTGTTTGCACGGGAGCTCAGGTGAGAGTTGTAGGATTAGGGAGAGGTGTGGTTTGGATTGTGTTTGGACGGGGCATACGGCATTTAGACTCCGATCAACGGACGGCAGAAGACTAAGGGTATAAAACGCCATTGTAGTTAAATTTGAATCTTTAATATTTTGCCTAGCTAAAGAGTTAATGAACTTAAACAGATTTTAGAAAAAAAAATCGTTTGTTTTTAAAAATATTAAATATACTCTTGTCGACAATGTTAATTATTTCCTTCGCATTAGTAGAATAAAAATAAATTAGCGAAAATGATTTTTTTATATTGTTTTCATAATTATGTTATTTGCCGTCATCAAGAAGATGTGTTTCTTGAAGAACTTATCAATGTCATTTTAAGATATATCCTTTAAAAGTTGGACATTTTTTTGTTCCCCTTTCATATAAATGAAAACTTGATCAGCACTAAGGAGTAATAAGGTTAGTAATCAAAACTTGATCAGCACTAAGGAGTAATAAGGTTAGTAATCAAAACTTGATCAGCACTAAGGAGTAATAAGGTTAGTAATCAAAACTTGATCAGCACTAAGGATTAATAAGGTTAGTAATCAAAATTAACAAAACCATCCGGAGAGGTAGCATTTCATTAAACAATCACTTATTAAATGTGGCGGTTGTTAAGACGATGGCGGCATCCCACGGTGTCGGCCATTTGCAGCCGTCGCCCTTCTTCCCATTGGCATGTGTTATAACAAAACCTTTGCACTATCCAAATGGTTTTTATAATCTTATTAACCATTTTTTTAAAGTTAATTATATATTTATGTATAGATATGCATTAATAAGCAATGTATAAGTAAGCTGAATTGCATATCTCAATAAACAGAAATAGAAATTGGTATTGCACTGACAAGTGTTTGTGTACATTCTTCATAGCCTCTATTTAAATCTTAGTGAGTGGGCATTGTCGTATCTATTTTCATTCTTTCAACAATTGTAAAAAGTATTGTTCCTTAATTAATTGAAAATAAACAACACGGTGCTGAGATAACAACAACAAAAAAAAAAGGACATTTATTTTGTATTACTGAGGTGAGAAAACTTTCTTGAAAAAACGGAGTCGAACCAGAGACGTCCGTGTGGCACGTGACTACTAGACCACCGATGGTCATGATTTCCCTTGAACGTATTTATAACACATACAAAGATAGTTCATTGTTACACGAATGACAAGCCCGGCTCAAGAAGTATTTCCTTTTGATGAGAATTTTGTTCAATTTATTAGTTAAAAATAGTTATAATTGCATTGAAGGTCTTAACTAAATCATGCACACAGAAATTTAATTCAAACTCACAAGTTCACTGAGTAGAAATCCAAGGATTGTGTTATGACTTAACATATAACATATTCATTTGACTGATCCCATTTCAAGTATTAATTCGCATGGTTATAGTTCGCTGATACTAAGAAAGCTGTACAGTTTCAGCTAATGGGATGTTTTTTGTTGTTTGTCTTTGTTAACCTGCGTTGCTAGATCTACCTAGTTTATATTATTGCACGGTGCTCGTTGTGACATAATTAAATCGAAAAAATGTACATAAAATTTATAAAATAAAATAAAAAGTAAGGGGAAAAAAACAACAATTTATTAAAATTGATCCATTGAGAACAAAATGTTCTAAACATTTTTTTGTTGTTGTAAAAATAAATAAATAAATAAAATAAAAAATCAATTGTCAAAGGATATACACTGCGTTTTAAAAATAAAATCCTTGAAAAAAGAGACTTGAAATAATTCAACCGAAAGTTCAACACTAAAGTTCAACACTAAAGATTTCTCTTAACAGTTAAAAATAGTTTTGCATGATTTTTTCATGTTTTTGCTGATGATTTCCAATACATTTTAATAAATTGTAACCATGCAGCGGATCAGCAGTCCTAATGATGACCATTCACATTCAATATAACGTAAACGTATTATATAGATCAGTAAAGGGAAATGGACGCCGTGCATTAGAACACATTCTGAACCTAACCAGACTGGCAAAGTAAAGTAAGTCGTAAAAGAACAGTCCAAGATCATAACATAAATCTTACAATATTACGCAGTTGGTGCGCCAGTCGTGCATGACAATACATATACATTTTACTTCAGTTGAATCCAGCTTAAGGACAGTCGTTTATTCGCAAGCATCTCAGCTGTGAGTGTATTCACAGTGCATAGTTCTAAGAGTTCTAAGAGTTTCATCACAGTGCATAGTTCTAAGAGTTCTAAGAGTTTCGGAGGTAAGAAATAATATTTAAAAAAAATATTATTTTATATTGTTTTAGTATTATATTGCAAGAAAGTATATTTATAATATAAGTAGTTAAAAATATTTCTTTATTTATTATTTTAAAAACAAGTTTTTATAATGACTTATGAAGTTGTTAGGTAATGGATTTTATGAATGATAATGACGCTAACAGAATAAATTCCTAGAATCAGTTATTTTTAAATTCTAAATTATTGCAAATATTGACACAGATACACGGTTTTTCTATCACTCCATGCAAGGTTTTAAACAGGTTTGGCTTGACGAAATTTACCAAATCTCTCAAGCCACAGACGATGTTGTGATTCATTAATGACACCATTGGGCGACGTTATTGATAGACGAGCTTTGTTTCTAGACAATGGGTCTAGTTCAATGTACGGGAAATGACGCGCTTTTCTGAATTCGAACTTGTCATTTTTGAATCCAAACCTCTTCATTTGAATGTTCTGCTATATTGAATTGGTTACAGATAATAGCTACAGTGGTAATAACGTTTCAAGTTTCTTAACAGCGTCTTACAATTTTTTTATGTAGAATGTTTCCTCAATATGGATCAATGGATCCTATATTTCCCAATACATGTTTTGTCATGTATTGCCATCTTTATACCCTTCTGGCATTACGAATACATAACTTTTCAACAAAATTCTACCATTTATTATGGAATTAGGGGCGGAGATTTTTTTATAAAAAGATGGATTCTTTACTTTATGTACATCATCTCATAAGTTAAATAAGATTGAAAATGTGTATACAGTTATTTTGTTAAAATATCAAACCCTTTCCCTCCACTTTCTATGAAACAGCAGCACACAATGACACGTTGTGGTCGTTTAACTTTGCTAATCAGCATCTTGGCCTTGAATCAGGTCACGTGTGACATCAACTGGATGACACAGTTGGGAACCGAATGGACTTTCGAATGCCCCCCTGGAACAAGTTTGAAGATGCTACTGTCCGCCCCAGTTTTCCAGAATCACGACAGGCTCTGGAACTTCACCTGCAGCGCCACTGACGCCAAGATCGCCAACGCCACGTGTGAGTGGAGTGACTACGCCAACGACTTCAACAAGTTGTTCAACTTTCAATGTCCTGATGATGGCATCATAAAAGGTACACATATTATTGGGGACTTTCGTTGACATATATATATATATTTAATTTTTTTCGGAAGACAAGCAGATGAGAAAATATTTCTTTAAAGTTTTTAAAAAATCTTTGAACGATAAAAACGTATAGACTGTCTTTAACATTGTAGTAAAATACATTTCCACTTCTGTCTCCGACAAGCATACAATACTAATGTATTACAATTGTGCTGAAATAAATTGAACTACGATTTTACACACAAATTTAAGTTACTCTTCATATTCCCTAACACAAGTTGATTATAAAACTAACGATTTTCCTCTATAATTTTCCACCAAAGGTATAGAATCCACCTATAATGGTTACGACAGAAGGTACAAGTTCCTCTGTTGTTCTACAACTGGGTACATCGCCCATGCTTGTCAGTTCACCCCAAACATCAATGCTCTTGGGGGCTTCATGAACTATCGCCGAGCAGATAACTGGTACATTCGGGGCTTCACCAGTGAATGGGGCACATCAAGTGTGGGATACTATGACCGTGTGTTCAGCCTTAACATGTGCAAACTGGACAAGATTAATCCTTGTTATTGTACACTATAAGTGATGCGTTCCTTCTAACTGTTTAGTTATAAGATGTTTATTATATTTATCTTTATGAGATGTGTTACGACAAATTGTTTAGGTTTTGACACATGTTCCTTCTAAATGTTTAGTTTATGAGATATGTTCCTACAAATTTTTCAGTTAATGAGATGTGTTCTTTATAATTGTTTACTTTATGATATGTGTTCCTTCTAATTGTTCAGTTTATAAGATGAGTTCCTTCTTATTGTTTAGTTTATAAGATGAGTCACACTGTTCAATGTAAGTTATAAAATGTTAGGTTCATAGTGGTAAACATGAATTTTTACGTTCTTAATTAAAATGAATTTTATCTTGATTTAGTCACTCCCTCGATTTATTGTTTTTTTTTTTTTTACATTTTAAAAATATACAGTTTGAATTTCCTTAAAAGTGGAATTATGATCATAGTATAAGACGTCACAAATCACTGTTCATGCCTTCTCTTACCAGGCCGACCATAGCAAATGGTGGCGGCCAAATAAAAAAAATATGCTTTTTAATACAACGAATGGTTCGATTTGACCAAACATGGTCACCGAATTCCTCACCTAACTATCTAACACAAAGCACATCAAATAATACCATCTGATGCGTTCCATTACATTTATAATTAGTTAATTGACCTCTAATACACAATATAGATGTCTAATACAATTAATTGTAGACTAACACATCGTACTGCATACAGCATCGTACATGTTTGTCTCATTAAATAGAACATGCTCACAACAACGGAGGACAGACAAATAAACACCATAATCATCTAATAATCCAATACAAAATACGGCTGTCTACATTAAATAGATGGTCATCTAATGCAATACACGTTAACGTAAGGCTAGGTTCTTTTTTTAATTTGTAATTGCTAAAATGTATTTAGGGTACAGATATAATTTTGTTTAAGTACCGTATTTATCGGCGTATAATACGCACACATCATTTGCCCCCGTTTTTGTGGGAGAAAAAGTGCGTATGATACGGTAGTTAAGATAAAATATATATATAAAAAAGATGTTCCTGGCTACTTTTAAGAATCTTCGTGTTGAAGTTTTATCACCGTGGAATTTCTTACGTTCGTACGGCAAGTAAAGGAAGGTTCATCACAGTGACGACCGGGTGGTCCAGGGCCTGGGTTCCGAAACTACGCAGACACATAGAAGACACAGCAGTTTTAACTTCATACCCTCGAAGGCACTACAAGAAGGACTTGCAGTAAACGATTAGTAAGCTCTCAAACGTCTCTTCAAATTGATTGACTTGCTGGCTTCACAGGCACAAGAAATATACAATGGGGTCAATATTGTACCACTGCTCATGCACAAGCAATATACAATGGAGTCACAATTATACCACTGCTCATGCACAAGAAATATACAATGGAGTCACAATTGTACCACTGCACAAGCACAATAAATATACAATGGAGTCACAATTGTACCACTGCACAAGCACAATAAATATACAATGGAGTCACAATTGTACCACTGCACATGCACAAGAAATATAGAATGGAGTCACAATTGTATCACTGCACATGCACAAGAAATATACAAGAGTCACAATTGTACCACTGTACATGCACAAGAAATATACAATGGAGTCACAATTGTACCACTGCACATGTACAAGAAATATACAATGGAGTCACAATTGTACCACTGCACATGCACAAGAAGCATACAATGGAATCACAATTGTACCACTGCACATGCACAAGAAGCATACAATGAAGTCACAATTGTACCACTTCACATGCACAAGAAGCATACACTGGCGATGCATAACGATGGCAATCAAAATTGTCACGCAGCACACACACAAACAAACAACCTCTGCTTACCAACCCTACATACTAAAAAAAATCTACTTTCAACCTGGCGCTCACATATAATCTCAGAATTCAAATATATTCTCCCGGGATCGAAAAGAAAAGTACAAACTGTATACTACGTTCGTTCATCATCCCCCCCCCCCCAAATACACACCCAAACCATGCACCAATAAGACCTGATTGACGCAAACTCACAATATAACACACACACAAAAAGGAGAAGGGAAAAAAAATGCATTCACTGACACACAAAATAAAAAAAAAAACAAGTTGTGAATAGTAACCAAAACATCAAATAGGTCGTTTGACTGTGACGAAAACACACTGCCGTCTTGTGTCTGTTGATCTTCTTAAGCCTTGTCTTATTCCAGCCGTCTTATCATCTCCGAAATAGAAATGTACTCCTACATTTTTGGGTATTGCAAGTTGCAAGTCAGCTTACTGTCCTCGATAAAAAAAACATAAAACTCAGGTTGGGAGCTGAAGGGGGGGGGGGACATGGAGAATGAAGAAACATAAGAGCAGACGAGCAGTAAGAGACGTTCCTATTAAACATTATTCCCTATTCTTCAAACAGACCGAGAAGATATTAAGAATTTTTTAAAGCTTTACCATCATGGGTTGGTAACTTGGCTGACATTTAAAAAAAAAAAAAAAACTATTATAAGAGTCGTTGCTTTCTTTATAACCGTATCAACACTGTGGTTTCTTTCCCATCTTTCCTTCCCAAACTCAGTCTCAGATGTCATTGTTTTCACAGAAGTTCAGTTTCTTTCGGTTTGAATAGATTTCCTCTTGTATACGACACCTAGGAGAAACGGCATTATTTTTAAAAAAAAAACAAGGAAACGTAGAGCTTTCAAATTGATTTGGAGTTGTGCTGGACAAAGCTAAGTGATCCAGTTCACGAAAAGTTTAGATGTCCGAGTCTTAAGTCTAGTAGAAAGATGATTTGCAGCATGGGGGCAAAAGACATGCGACAAAACAACTAAAGTGGGACAAAGCTAGGAGATCCTGGTCTCTAAAAGTTTAGATATCTCAGTCTCATGTCTAGTAGAAAGACGATTTGCAGCAAGGGGGGTGGGGCCAAAGACATGCGACAAAACAACTAAAAGTGTCAACATGAAAACCGTGCCAATAAACCCGTGACATACATGTGAAGTTAAAGTTCTTTTCAACCTATCCACGGCCTTGACCCTCGTGATGTGACACCATTTTGATGGCCGCCCAGCGCCCGTGAAAGCTACACCTCAACAGTATCATCATGGAATCAACCAGAGACACTGAAATGCCTCCTGGTACGAGCCCCCTGATTGTTTGCACGAGACTCCAGGAAGGTATATTGTTTTGATCTTGTCATGTTTCATCCACATCGAAGGTCAACACAAGGTTATAAGGCAATGTACGAGATATTTTGGCATCTTTGATTCTATATTTGGTGTTGTAAAATCCTTAGTGACTCAAGGTTTTTTTGTTGTTTTTTTTGGAGGGGGTGGGCGGGAGGGGCCGCTGGGGCTTGGATGGGAAGAAATTTGTAAATGGTGAGTCCATTTAAAATTTTTTTTTTATTTTGCTAAGTACTTGATGGCTCTTTCTTTTTTATCTTACAACATAATCAGTTGCTCTGTTTTTATGTTTTAAAATACTTGGCCAGCCTCTTTTTATATTACATCATACTTGGTGTCTCCTCCAAGATAATGAAAGTTCTGATTACAACAACCCCCCCCCCCCCCCCCCCCCCCCCCCCCCCCCCCCCCCCGCTCCGACATGCTCAAACCGTCTCCAAAGTTGATCAACTACTGACGAAACTAATGTAAAGGATGCAAAGCTACAACTGCGCCTCTCGTATACGCAGACAGAAGACGTGAGAAGAAATATTTTTTAAACAAAAATTCTCTCAAACATTTTTTGGAATAGTAATGTCCTTGTTTGGAAATAAATTTTTAAAAATTTTCTGCGGTAATTTATTCAAATTATTTCATACGTTTTTTTGTTGTTTTTTTTTGTTTGCTTGGTTGTGTTTACCAGAAATATGATATCTCCGTATACCTTTTCGTGGTTACACAAAGAAAGGTGAAGGTCACATTTCGGAAACAATTTTGTAAAAAAAAAAAAAATTTTAAATTAAAAAAAAAAAGGTCTCGTGTTATCACGGCTCAATGAAATAGAGCGTAGTAAAGTTGAAGGGCCAGTAGACAGTTCCATCTGGATTCTTCTCTTACGTTTGCCTGGAAACATTCTGTTTGCTGCAATTCTCAGGAGTCCGGTAAGTCATAAATTGTAATTTCTAAACAATGTAAAAACACCACGCGCTCTCTACAAAATGTTTATTTTACCCCCAAAATTCTACAGATAAAAGAAATAAGTGAGTAATAAGGTTTTAATTATTGCTGGCTAGAGAGTCGGTTTAACTTAAACACATACACACACATAACACACACACACAACCACGAACACACACACAACGACGATCACACACACAACCATAATACACACATAGGACTCCGATTCAAGTCTACGATCCTACTCTTGTTTATATCGAAATGATCTTGTGATGAAAGCGGTCGCAAAATCAAGAGCTCAGAAAGCTCTTATTGAATGTAATTGCTAAGCTAAGTGTCAAACGTGGTAACTTAACAAATACAAATATCAAGGAAACTCACCAATAACTTTATGACACCGTTAAATTTTAATATCCAGTAAACCAATTTCTATGCTATAGGAAAAAGCTCCACACATTTGAGCACAGACGGCTCATTTGAGCAAATACCACACATTGGAACGCAGACCACTCATTTGAGCGTAGACCATTCATTGGAGCGCAGACCACTACTTTGAGCACAAACCACTCATTTTAGCGCAGACCAATCACGCAGACCACTCATTTGAGCACATACCACGTTTGAGCGTGGACCACTCATTAGAGCGCAGACCACACATTTTAGCCCAGACTAGACTAATCACTACTTCTAAATATCGAGATTAGGAATACGGCTTCCTAATTTTTCGTTCATTTATTAATATATTTAACGGATTAACTAGAGAGTTTCGATTTTCAATTACCTAGGTAACTCCTAGTCAGCGTGAAATTCGACACATAATAATAAAATCAAATATAAAATATCGTTTTTGTTGAGAAACTTTCCGATAAGATTTTTAAAAAGATCATTCAATGATTTTTTTTTAAAGTGGAGTAGGAAAATGTCTGCTCCCAATCCCTGGTTATAAAATGTTGTTGATGACATAGAGATTTTTTATCGTTATGGTTAACTGAACAACGGGGTGCATATTATCATGTTAAGACATTTTTTGGCTACCTACACCGTACAGGGATATAGTTCTATCAATGAAACATATCCTGTTCCGCAGCATTAAAAAGAAACAAACTGAAAAAAAAAATGAATTCAGGTTGTTAAAAAATTCTTCACTTCAGTAGAAACAAAAAATGTCGAGATACCAGTTCCCTACACTACTGATCAGCCTGTCAGCCCTTGTGACAATGTCCACGGGCATCACCTGGATGACCACTCTGAACAAGGAGTGGACATTCGAGTGTCCGAAAGGCCGAACAATCAGATCTTTGATGTCTTCTTTTGAAAGTAATGACAGAGTCTGGAACTTCACGTGCGACCTGACAGACCCGAAGCTCAACATCACCGTTTGTGAATGGAGTGGCTACATCAACGGCTACAGGTCACACTTCCATGCCCAGTGTCCTGGCGACAGCATACTCACAGGTAAGGAAATAAATATTATGATTGTAGTTAGACATACAGCCATTAAAAACTGTGTAGATTTAAAGCAAAAATTAATTTAAAAAGGATTGCCTTTTGTTGTGTCTTTTCGAAAATGTTTCGAAAAAATGTCTTTTAAAATATAATCAAATTGTTCGTATGCTAATAAGATAATATTTTAATTTAAAAAATTAAAGTAGTTTCAAGGTTTTTATAAAAAAATATTTGCCATTATTTGGCTTCGTTGTTATCTTGAATACATACTGTTTTTTTAAAGTCCATCTGTCAAACGTAACATTATAAAGCTGTATCTATCTTCGGGTAAGCTGTCAAAATAAAATTTTAAAATTAATGTATCTCCAGTTACTCAGTAAAAATTGCATGTTAAAATTTCTCTAGCTTCGGGTAAAATGTTAAAATAGCATTGTAAAAAGTTGTGTGTTGCTGTTAACTCACCAGGAATGTCCACCTATTTTGACCGCGAAACGGAAGACAGACGCTACAACTTCCTCTGCTGCTACCCAGGCGCCTCCGCGACGCATGCGTGCCAGTACACTCCCTATCTCAACGCACACGGACAGCCGATTAGCTATCGTCTGCTCCGAGCCTGGTACATCCGAGGGTTCAACACAGAGGTTGTCAGCAGTGACCGCTTGTTCAGCCTCAATATCTGCCGACTGGACACATATGTAGCCACGTGTTATTATTGAAGTCTTTCGCTGCTCAAGTGCCCTGGTTGTTACATTATAACTCAACACATATTAGAACTTTAACATGTCAGTCTGTACATAGATAATCTGTATTTTGTTTGTTCGTATCCATGAAGAGAAACTGTAATCCTAGTATGTCGTTAAATTTAAAAAAAAAGAGACAATTTCTCTCTCAATATATGTGTATTTGTAAGAACGTTTTCATCATTATATTTTCTATTGATATAAAAAAATTACCTCTTTATTTGTAAAAAAATTTTTTTAAAATTCTTTCAAAGCTATATCACAGCGGTTCTCAATCTTTGAGTCTCGACCCCTTGGGGGGGGGGGTCGAGGTCGAACGACCCTTTTACAGGGTCGCCTATGACCATCAGAAAACACATATAAGGTATAGTTTTGAAGTAGAAACGTAAACAATCTTTGTGATAGGGGTGTCGCCCTGACAAAGAGGAACTGCATTAAAGGGTCGCGGCATTAGGAAGTTTGAGAACCACTGCTATATCAAGTGATTTTTGGCCGAAAAGTGAAATGCAATACATTTTATCATGAATCTAAATGATTTTTTTTGGCCTTAATTAAAATATTTATGACGTTGGGGTGCACGTTGAGTTCATATGTGGCCTGCAAGTCCGATACGTGATTGGAATATTCTCTGGCAGAGTTGCTGTAGTTGGTAATCTAATGTTACTTTTTCGTGCTAGCCTGCGTGTCTCAGCTGTGGCTCTCCTACTGGATTCACGAGATTGAGCTCCCTTCTTGACATTGGATTTCCACCTGGCTCTGTCCTGGGCTGTCTGGATCAATTCAATAGGGTTGATGCTGAAGGCCTTTAGTGCCGCTTTCAGTGTGTCCTTGTAACGCTTTCTTTGACCTCCATGGGATCCCTTGCCATAGATTTCACCATAGAATAGCAGTTTAGGGTAGCCGGTTGTCTTCCATACGGGCTGGGTGTCCCGCCCAACGTAGTTGAGACTGCATCAGTGTGGTGAACATTCCGGAGGACTGCTGCGCTATAGACCTTGATGTTCGTTTCTCATCTGATACCTCTCCTCTTCCATACAGTATTTCGGAGTCTGCCAAATATTGCACTAGCTTTTACGAGTCCGGCATTCATTTCGTAATCCATGACGACAGTTCTGGAGTGAGAGCTGCCTAAGTAAGAAAATTTACCCACCACGTTTAGACACTGTCAGCTGACGGTGACGCTATGTTCAGCTCCGTGCCTACTGGGAGCTGACTGATACGTCACTTCAGTCTTCTTTTTTTTTTTTTTTTTAAATTCGGACCCGTGTCCTTTAGACTAAATCCCATTGGGGTGTCTTTTGTGGTAGTTTATTTTAGTCAAACTGAAAAATTAAGTTTACAAACATATCTTCCATTACTCCGTGCCTGTTGGGTGCTGACTGATACGTCTCTTCTGTCTTCTTTTTTTTTTTTTTAAATTCGGACCCGTGTCCTTTAGACTAAATCCCATTGGGGTGTCATTTGTGGTAGTTTATTTTAGTCAAACTGAAGAAGTAAGTTTACAAACATATCTTCCATTCAATTATCTTTCATTTGATACCTCATTTTGTCTTACAAACACAACAATACTATTTTAAATAGTTTTTTTTTAAAAATCCAAACCTCTCACTTCTGGTACCCGGGTGCGAATACCCACTTCGATCACATAGTATGTTTTTAATTATTATTTCTTTGACACGACTTGAACGTGGTCTCAGCCATGTTCATTAGTCGACTAGTTATGACAACTGCAACAGTATACGCTGATGTAACCAGCTGGTGATGAAACAATTTTGCTCGAACTGAAAGGTTAAGCCAAACGAACTAAAAATTGTATGCAGCCTAAAGCATAAGGACCCTACAAAATTATTTAATAACTTCAGTTTACTTTTGTTAAAATTTTAACGCACCGTTTGAGTTACTCGAGTTAAGAAGTTAATCCAGTTGATGGAACTAACGGAGTTAATGAAAATATGAAGTTAATGGAGTTAGTGAGTTAATGGAGGTAATGAAGTTAATGGAGTTAATGAGTTAATGGAGGTAATATAATTAATGATGTTAATGGAGTTAATGGAGTAAACGAAAATAGTTAAGTTAATAAGGTTCATGAAGATAATGAAGATAGTAAAGTTAATGGAGTGTTGGAGTTAATGAGCTAATTGAGTTAATGGCTTAAAGGAAATTGATTACCTTAATGGAGATAAAGGAATTAATGAATTTAAAGGAGTTATACAGTTAATTGAGTTAATGAATTTTTCTTAATAGTGATGTCTTTATTTACCCTTACAATACATTGAACTGGCTGTTATTGGATAATTTAATCAAATACAAGGAATATAATCCTAAAATGTGAAGATGAAAATAATGAATATTCTTTTTAACAAAATTGTATATATAATTTTTTTTAAAATAGTACGCTTTATACGCTACTAAATATATTTTGTTTGAAAAATTTAGTAAAGCAAACCAAACAAAGACGTTATGAGATATGAAAACAGACTAGAAGCATATTGGTACTCCCTATTAAAACCTGGAGCTATTTTCTCTTCAATTCTTCATAAGAGTTGCGCTAAATAGAAGTTAAGGAAAGATAATCCCAATTCCTTCCAAAATAAATTAGTTATTCCCATTTGTAATAAATACGATGTCATGTTAAGCGTAAACGACAGCAAGTTCTGGATGATTGGCGGATTACAACAAATCATCCTCTTGTGTTTGAATCTATATATATATTTTTTGAAATTTGTGTATGTAAATTATCCTCATTCCGATGATACACTGTTTCTTTTCATCCATCTATTCTTTAATACTGAAAATGGGATCATATTCAAACACGGGAAGGGTACGTCCAACAATGACTGTCAAAAATATCCTCCTGGTTGGCTGAAATTGTATCACAGCTATTTGAAACTTCTATAACATTTCAAGATTCTACGGCTAGAGGTTGGCTGAATAAGCCGAGAAAAATTACGATCGCTTCTAGCTATTTTGTCTGAAGGGGATACTGTCTGTTTTCATCACGCCGGGTAAAACAACCAGTGGGAGGAATGTGATATCTCGCTTGGTTTTCAGCCTGGATCGGGGCGATCTATAAGTACAACTGAGAGAGTCGAAAAGCCAAAAGACCCGCAGGGGCGGACTTTGAAGGGGGGTTACCCCAGAATTGCGGCACTTCTGGTGGAAAGCTTACAATTAAAAAAAAAAAAAATTTAAAAAGCCACGGTTACCGTGTAGGACCGTCCGTAGGCCTATTGTTTAAAAGGCCAGCAGATAGAGTGTAGGCTCGTCCGTAGACCTATCGTTTAAAAGGCCAGCAAATAGAGTGTAGGACCGTCCGTAGGCCTATTGTTTAAATGTCAGCAGATAGGCTTACTTTAGTCCTATCTTTATTTAAATGCTGACACGTAGGATGTAGGACTGTCTGTGGGCCTATTGTTGGAAGGGCAGCATATATGATAGAAAATAAGAATTTAACTCTTTTTATTGTGTGGCCACATTGGGTATTGGACCCAATAGGTATTAGACCCAATGGCTATTGGACCCATTGGGTATAGGAGCCAATGGGAACTTTCTCAAAGTACCCCGTACCCGGTGTAAAACACTGCACGGTTAAGCCCTAGTTAAGCATAATTGTGCTATGTTAAACGCAATAATTGAAAGAGGCCAGAAATCGAAATTTAAAAAAAAAAATCATACGAACTCATTTCCAATATGACACCTCGACTTACAATAGGAAGGCTACCGTGATGATCCAGTGGAGCATGCATTAGCCTGATACAGTTGACTGCCAGTAGAAAACTGGGTAGGGGGGCAGAATGTGGTTCGCCAGCATTGGAGTCGGTCGCGTCGTCACAGTGCATAGTCTCAAGAATCTCGGAGGTATGTAATGGAAAATAGAATTAAATATGATGCTAGTATTTTAATGGAAGGAAAATATTAGAATCTAGTTAAACATTATATATATATATATATATATATATATATAATTTTTTTTTCCTTTTAAAATTGGTTTTGTTTTCGACTGGAAAATTTATGACGTAACTCATTTGTTATTTTTAATAGCCGCTTTAATTATATTCAGCGGAACTATTTATTAATGTTGGGCGTCACGAATTTTTCTTACCCGCGACTCAGACAAATTTTTCAATTCATTATTTATATATATTTAAATCATTGATTTATATATTAGCCTATTTGTATGAGTATCGGGCTATTTCTTTATAACAATTACACGCTTTTCTGACTTCAGAATTTTAGTTGTCTTTTTAATCTAAGAGTTTATATTTTCTGGTACTTCGAAGTTTTCTCGTGTAATTTGAACATATATAATCAAGGTTCTGACTCCTTACTGTTTCAAATGTTCAAGATTCTTTAAACAAAATTTCCTCATTCTTTTTCCCTTTTGTGACCTATTTTCTGTCTGATTGGTGTTATTAATGTGTGGTCATTTAACATTCAGTGTTACCAGTGTTTGGCCATCCCACCTTTAATGTTACCAGTGTTTGGCCATCCCACCTTTAATGTTACCAGTGTTTGGCCATCCCACCTTTAATGTTACCAGTGTTTGGCCATCCCACCTTTAATGTTACCAGTGTTTGGCCATCCCACCTTTAATGTTACCAGTGTTTGGCCATCCCACCTTTAATGTTACCAGTGTTTGGCCATCCCACCTTTAATGTTACCAGTGTTTGGCCATCCCACCTTTAATGTTACCAGTGTTTGGCCATCCCACCTTTAATGTTACCAGTGTTTGGCCATCCCACCTTTAATGTTACCAGTGTTTGGCCATCCCACCTTTAATGTTACCAGTGTTTGGTCATTCAATGAACTCTTGTAGGTTACTTCAGGACCTCAGCGTTTACCTTCTTCCACGAGAAAATATTACTAAATTCTAGACGCACTGTTTAATATGCAAGAATAGATTAGCCTTAATATGTAATATTAGATTAGCTTAAATAAGTAAGGATCGATTAGCTTTAATATGAAAGGATAGATTAGCTTTCATATGAAAGGATATATTATATTTAATATGAAAGGATAGATTAGCTTTAATATGAAAGGATAGATTAGCTTAAATAATAAAATACATTGTCCTGATCACAAACCGTTGTAAACGAATTTGAAATATTATTGTTGCATTTATACGGATATTTTTGAAATAATAGACTTTGATATTATTATCAATAGATGTCACAAGCTTTGACGTTAAAAATCGACATAAAGATATTAAATTGTATACTATAAGGCGGGACAACATTAACTTTTGTGCATGACCATGAAATATGTCCCACGTATTTCCTTTTGTGCATAAATTAATCAATGAAATCATTGGACTAAATATTTCCTACGTAATTTCTTTTGTGCATTCAGTTAATCGATGAAATCATTGAACTAAATATTTCCTACGTATTTCCTTTTGTGCATAAATTAATCAATGAAATCATTGAACTAAATATCTACTACGTATTTTCTTTTGTTCATAAATTAATCCATGAAATCATTGGACTAAATATTTCCTACGTATTTCCTTTTATGCATAAATTAATCAATGACATCATTGAACTCAATATCTACTACGTATTTGCTTTTGTGCCTAAATTAATCCATGAAATCATTGAACTATATATTTCGCATGTATTAATATTAACAAGTTCATTTGTGGAAAAAATTAGACACGTTAAAAGCAAATGTCCAAACAATTGGAACGACATTCACGGTTAAAGGTTTCAAATATTTTAAAATTACCATGAACTATTCATACGTCTGTATAATACCAGGCATTTATAGCTTACCATAATATGATAGTTAAAATTAGATATTTATCTTACGTAAAAACTACTGAAATCTAAAATGATTATCAAAGGCTTATGAAGAAGGTTCTAATAGAGATTTTAAATTTCGTATTATATGTATAGACTTGGAACAAGCCTTGATGTTGTTTTTTTTTGTGGTAACATCTGGAGTTTCTAAACAATTATTATCTTTTTTTGCGTGATCTAATTTTCTACCATATATGTTCAGTATAACGAGAATTGTGATGTATTTTTTTTTTAAATCACGCCCCCTCCACCCCACACACTTTATTAACCTCAAACAGAAGCGAACGAAATGAGGAGTTCGATCGTTGTAGCTTTGGTGGTCAGTATTTGCGCCCTGAACCCTGCCTGGGGAGACGTGACCTGGATGACACAGCTACTGACCGAGTGGAACTTTGAATGCTCTGCTGGTACGAGCTTGAAGACCATGCAGTCTTATCAAGTGTTCCAGAATCACGACAGGCTGTGGAACTTCACCTGTGGCGGAACCGACGCCAAGCTCACGAACGCCACCTGTGAGTGGAGCGCCTACGCCAACGACTTCAACACACAGTTCCTCTTTCAATGTCCCAACGATGGCGTAATCGCAGGTATACGGTATTACGGTCAAACGGAAGCGGACATATTACATTTTTTAATGTATTCGATTTATCGAAATCTCTACCTATTGTTTATGTATTAAGTATAAATAGGAAAATAAAAGTCAGGGTAGGGAAAATCTGAAAGAAACTAAATCAAAGCAACCAAAGTGTCATCAAAAATGACTGCGCCATGAAACAAAACCACTTTATTTAGAGAAGAATCAAAGGGGGGAGGGGGGGAGGTAGATCAGAGAGAAAAAACAGCAGAATTTTAAAAAAAAAATAATGTTTTTTTTCCGGAATTCGACCTACCGTTAAGAGTACGATTAGTAGTTGATAAACTACCTTAGCATGGACGTATCAATATACATTTCTACATGGGCCTATGAATAACACAGGTAAAATATTTTTATCTGGTTCTAGGTCTGGTAGTGTCCGTTACTGCATCCATATACTGGAATGCATATACTATTTTTAAATGGGAATATTGGTTGGATAACTGGAGTGAGTGGTCGTGTGATGTGACTACTGGTTGAGTGTTCATATATTATTTTACTATTACACACCTTAGGGAAAGGGTCAGCGAATTCTTTTATCCACTAGGTCAAACTATAATTAAACATGTATATGATAAATAGCCATGTTTTTCCTTTATATTTATTTTATCACAGGCATGGCATCCTACCACAACAACTACGACAGACGGTATCAGTTCCTCTGTTGTTTTCCAACTGGCTACATCGCGCATGCGTGTCAGTTCACTCCGAACGTCAACTCCCTGGGAGTGTTCATGAGCTATCGCCGACCAGATAATTGGTACATCCGGGGAGTGGGCAGTGAATGGGACAGAGCAAGTAACGGATACTATGACCGGGTGTTCAGCTTCAGCCTCTGCAAACTGGACAAACTGGTTCCTTCAAATTGTTCAGTATAAATTATATGTTCCCTTTAATGTTTCAGTATAAGCGACATGCTCCTTCTCGTTGTTCAGGATACATTATATGTCCATTCAGACTGATCCGTAAATGTAATATTTTGCTACATTTTAAGCTATTTACTCGGATTTTATTTCCTTTATTAAAAACAGTGTATCAAAATAAAGACATCTTTGCCACTATTGATTTTTTTCTTCTATTTCTTTGTTATATCTCTGGGTTTTGTTTAAACTTTAAGCAATAAAATTTCATTTTTTAAAGTATTATTATTAAACTATAATAAATGTACGATTCAAATTTGTTAAATATCTTATATGCTCCTCTTATACATTAGAGTCATAGCATTTAATGCAATACATGATCATGAAATACAATAAACTTGAAATGCTTGTCGAAACAATAAAATCAACTCTAATACAACAGTTACCTTAATATAATACAGAACCGACTTAACACAAGGCAGTGGAGCCACATACAGTAAACAAAAAAGCAACCCCCAATACAAGACATTGTTGCTTAAATACAAGATGTTGTCACGTTATAACCAGAGCTACCTAAATACAATACAAGAACGCCAGATTCACTGAGAGGCCAAGGAAATGCAATACTGTGCTGTCTAGTACAATTGAAGACGACCAGAATGCAGTGCAGGACACAGAAAGAAGTCATACGGGGTGCGCTCTCTTGAAGCTATGGCGCCTAAATTATTGAACACTTTGCTTCAATCTTTGAGGGGAATTGAACGGGAGGACAAACGGTTCTTTAATAGGAGGATATCCAATCCACTCCCCCCCCCTACCCTCCCGATACCTTCTGATGCTCTTATTAGTACTTCATTGCACGGTTGTCGTTGAAGCAGATTGTAGCAGTTTATACATATAAAAAGTATATTTTCTAAACATAAATCTTTCAATGTAAATATGAATAACTTGTAAAGTTAATTTTACTCGTCCGTTAAAAAAAACAAAAAACAAATGGATTATCGCAATTTTTCAGGACTCTTAAATCTATAGATTAGGTGTTTCCTTTTAACATGCTAGATGAAAGATTCTAAAGATAACCATTCATTTAATTAGGAGAAAGATGATTATGTTCTTATTTCTGCTGTTCTCCACTTGTTTGTTGTTTTCCTTTAAAGCTAAGATTCGTATATTGTGTATTTAAAGAAACGTAGACATTTATTTGCTTGGGTCGATATAAAGAGCACGTGATCTCCCCGCAGTATGCCATCGAACAGCAAGGAGATTAACGCTGGAAGAGATGTAGCAAAATAAAAATTGAGATGTTTCTCAGAAAATCTAAAATAGTTCACGCAAAAAAAAACAACCAAAAAAAAAAAAATCATCTGCTCAGTTAGCAGTTTTTATAATCTGCATTTCTCTAGTGTTATTGGTAATAGTATTGGATCTTGGTCATGCAACCCCTACAGGAAGAAATTTGATGCCGTATTTTATTTTTAATATAAGACACTTCAATGACACATTTAATATGCATCCACGTTGAAGTAAAGGTATCAAATGCTAACACAATATGTGCTGCAAAATTATTTTTTCTTTGCCGTTGTGGACTAGTGATTCGAGATGAATATTTACATTCTAATAGGTTGACTTACAACACAGTTCCTCTTCTATCGTTGACTCATAATTTAGTCAGGTTGATTTATCGTGCATAACACTTCTTCTCGGCTGTTTTTTCTTTTTTTAATTTGCTTTAATTTTTTGTTACGAAATTTGTTCAAAATAAGTAAATAAATGTTTCATGCGAACGTCGCACGACTGGAAATTCATTCATCAGTTTGAGGACCCTCCTAAATCGGACATAGTATGACTTCCTTAAAAAACCGATTACCATTGACATTCGTTTATATCCCTTAAATTATATCACATTATTCTTTTATATCTTCTGATTCCTTTATATCGCTCTCTTCATGTATATCTCTCGATTCCTTTATGTCGCCTTCTTTATTTGTATCTAATGATTCCTTTATACCACCTGCGTACTTTATATCGCCTTCTTCCTTTATATTGCCTTCTTCCTTTATATCGCCTTCTTCCTTTATATCGCCTTCTTCCTTTATATCGCCTTCTTCCTTTATATTGCCTTCTTCATTATATCGCCTTCTTCCTTTATATAATCTTCTTCCTTTATATCACCGTCTGTCTTTATATCTCCTGATTCCTTTATATCGCATTTTTTTTTTATGAAATAAAGAGAATAACGACGGATAATTTATAATGGGTGGTCTTAGGCGGTGACGTCATTAAGATAAGATAAGATAAGATAAGATAAGATGAGATTCTTTTATTGATCAAAATAAATGGAAATGTTTTTTGATTGCATTATACATTTTCAGCACAAAAATAAAACAATTTGAACACAAAACATTTATAATAAATTATGTCAAACAGCCATTCAGTGAGTTCTCTTGGCACATATCGGGGAATTATTAGTTCTCATTCAGATGTGTGACTTCAGAGGAAGCACGCCGGTAAATTCGAACAGATTGGGGAACAAAAGAATTTTTATATCGGTCAGTCCTCGCCCTGATGAAAAGAATTCGTCCCGAACGGCCCGATCCTAAGTATCTAGGATGAAGAGGGTGGGATGTATCATCCAAAATGGGTTTAGTTTTGCAAAAACATCTTTCTTCAAAAAGTTCTTCAAGTGAAGGATGTTTAGTTTGTGTTATGTTTCTAGCTTTCTCGATTAGTCGGTTTGTGCAGTGTTTAATATTAGACGTTGAATTCACAGTATTGTGAACATTTTAATTAAAAGAATCCATTACTGTACCCGCAACGTCTTTATTATTTTTTTTAATGAAAATTATATACATAAAGTTTATAAATATAAACTATATATATATATATATATATATATATATTATATATATATATA